GCTTCGCCTATTTGACTGCGTTCTCTACGCAGAGAGGCTTTTAATGCTTTTGCAACGTCAAGGCAATGCTAGAAGGGAGTTGGGAGCCTTACTGCGCCTCTTGACGCCTCAACATACACTTGCAATTGCGATTGTGGACGATGTGGAGGGGAGGGAGAGAAGCGGCATAAATCTCTTCGTGGAGTATGCAAAGAAACTCGGCTTCGGCACCAAGGCGCCTCTGACTACTGCACCGATGAATTGGCGAATTTGGCATGCAATAAATGGTGATGACTATCATACGGACCGCAGAGACATATTCGAGTGGCTGTGCCGGGATGTGATTTGGAGGAGAATGCAAGAATCTGTTGTCTGATCGGCCCGACGACCTAGCGATTCGCTGATGATTGACTCGATTGTCAGAATAGAGGACTATGTTGACACGAGAGGTAGTGGTGGTGAGGCAACTGTTCTGTTGCACACCTGTGCTGAGTCATAAGGGGAAGTGTGGGCAGACGAGCAGTGCGAAGGTGGGATGGAGTGGGGCTGTCACCTAGGCATCACGAATTCCTGCATGCGGTAGTGTTGGGAAGAGAGTGGATGTCTGTTAGGTGTGGTGGGAAGTGGAGGTTGAAATGGGAAGAGGGTCGCTCAACAGCGGACCTCATTCTGTTGTCAAGTGCATCTTCATCAAGTGCAACGCTGTGAAACAATGGGGAGTGCGTTAGGATTTGTTTCAGTGCTGTCCTCGTTGGAGACTGATTGCAGTCACTGTCACTGCATTCCTTTCATTTCCTGCTTTGGCATTCTGTGCCTCGTCGATTGGAGGCACGTGATTTGGTAAGGCACGGCACCTTCCATAAAACATCACCTACCTATTCAAACCACCTTTGGACCACACCTCCTTCCCACCAACGATCGCCTCACCACACCCACTGCCCACACCACTTCCCCTGCCTTGCCTCCATTCTTCCCTGCTCCAATTTATAATAACCATTCTCCACACCATCACCGCGCACGCACATGTCATCCTCCTTCCTTGCATACCCACCATCTCACACACTCTCCCTCGC